ATTCCTGCTCCGTAATATGGGCCACAGCTGAATCACAATCCACTGCGCAATGCTTCACACTTCCACGGTTAACAATTTACATTTCAATGCTACTTTTACAGCACCACCCACAGTAGCGACCCTTTGATTCTGTGTTAGATCCACCTTAATCCAAACATTACATCCATTAAATGAAAGCGGGCAGTCCTTTTCACTCCAGAGAAATAGGTACACAGCTCCAGTGCTCCTAGGTGAAAGCAGATAGCAGCACTGCAACAGACCCCCTTTCTCTCTTTGTACTGTAGCTTTGCTTTTATTATAAAAGGCCCTCCTGCAAAGATGAACTGGTCCAGAAGAAAAGAGTGTCTGTTTGCATGAGTGTGTGTGCAGGTGGATTCATGTGTGTGTCTCTACTTATGTGAGGATGCAGGCGAACAAGTGTATAAATGTGCTATGGCAGCAGTGCCTACTAACTGGAGGCAATTTTAATGAATAGCGTCATTCAGGGGGAGACATGAGGGAAACAAATTTGCTGAAAACACTTCCTTCCATGAAGGGCCCCAGCTGCTTGGCTCACTGGTTGCTGGATGGCTGTCTGGTGTATGTGTGTCAGAGGGAATACAGCGGGCGATAAGCCTTGCTCCTCTTTGTTGCCCATCAGAGTGCCAGTCCTGAAAAACAACTTCCCCATTGTTACTTATAAATCAAAAACAACTAAATGCTGTTTCCATCTCAATTTCTATTTTTGACTAATGGGCTGTAGTCGTAACTTTGAGGTAATGATCAATCAATTACAGGCCACGCAGAGAGGGACCAAAGGTGGCCAATGTAAACTGATATGAACAGTTATATCTATTATATTTCTCTGTGTCCTCATGGGAATTGCTACACCCTCCTTTGTCACCTAGTTTGGGTTTTCATGCATGAATGAATTGCTCATACATCTGCCTGTGTTTGTTATCACACAAGAAAACCGCTCTCTATCTCAAACTTCTCTTTGCATATCCATGCTCTTTCTCTCTCCTACTACCCCTCACACTCAATTGCTTTCTCTATTTATCTTTATCTCAGTGTAACTCTCTTAGACACCCTGTCTCCCTCTCTCTGCCCCCTCTTCCTCCATCATCCCCCTCTATCCAACTGTGAACTGCCTGTACTCTGCTCTTTGTTAGGACAGGACAGCACAACAGGCCAAGTAGAGTGGTGTCCCTCAACCTCATCTACTCAACATTAATCATCCAACCATATACCAGTGTCTGATCTAATAGTGTTCTTTACCAATTGGCCATCTGGTTATTTGAGCAAATAAAGTTAATATAGCAGGGCAGCCTCCTCTAAAGAGAAATGATTCAATCACAGAAGGTCTCTGCTAGATCCTAACAGAGTTTGTCAGCAGGTGTATGACCTGTCAGTGTGCCCTAGAGCCACACACTCACTTTAATCACAATGGACACAGTTAAAATTTCTTGAGTAAAAGTATTAGTTTGATAATATTTCAGAGTCTGTCAGTAGTAAAGATTGGCAAGTGAAAAGATATGGCATTTCAAAAGTTACGTATTTCTCATTTGTTTATGTAAAATTGTTCTAATGCAGTTATTTTAAAAACAGTGCACAAGAAATCAGCCACATCGATTTCATAAGAGCTGTTGCAGTTATTTAGTTAGACATTATGTTGATTTGAATATTTTAGTTGGCACTTGGTAAGACTTGTTTGGTTTGCACTGGATTTGTTTGTTGTTGTTGTTCTTTTTAAGGGATCTGGTAAATGTTATGAGTATTGGAGAAGCTAGTTTTAAAGCACAGCTTTGCAAGCTGCCAAATACTTCACACTGGAAGACGTTGAACTACAGCAAAGCTACTCTAGGGAGAAATCTAAAGCTACTTTTAACTAAAGCTACTTTTAAAGAAACTTTGTTAAAAAAACAAAACAAATTGACAATGTATATATATATGACACAAAATTACATAATTATATAGGCTCCAAAACTTTTGAAGTTTCACTACCTATAGTAACTACACAAAAACGGTAAAGTAACAGATCAACTTGAATCACAATGAGCAAGCTACTGGAACATGCTGTTAAACTACTACTTTAATTACATGTAGTTACATGATGGGCTGTTTTAAAGCTGGTTTACTACAATACTGCAATTTAATATGTACACAGTGTTAAAGTATTGTTTTGACACTTACGGCTGATTAGATTAATATACAATGACCAGCCTCTCTATTATTTAGCTGAAATGTTTACATCATCTCACAGTGAAAAATATGCATGTTTATATGCATGTGTCAAATGTTGCATACGAATACCCTTTAGTGCAAACTGAGCATACAACGTGCAAGGGAAAGTGGGTGTTCACACCCACACATAGAAACACATATGAGCATATACTGCACAACCTGTAGAAATTGTTTCAATTTGTCCCCTTGATTGCCATTTAAAGCGCTTGGACACACAATACCTGCTGTGTCCTGCTCTGTCCTTGCTTTCTCATCTACCCACCAACCAAAACACAGAGAGCTGGCAGTTTTTGCCAGCAGCCATGCGAGTTCTCCGACTGAAAATGGCTCTTGGTGCTGTCAAACTTGTCTCCTGCTTTAACACATCAGGCAGAGGAGGTGGAGGTGTGAACTACCTGGCAGAGGCTCCTAGACAAGTTTCACAAGGTCTCTGTGAACAACATTGCCAGTGAGGGATTAAAAAAAATTCAAATTTTAAATGCCATTGGAATGAATGCCAACCTTCACAAGATGACTGAACAGCAACATGCTGTTACATCTTACCAATGTTTGTTTGTGTTTGTGTACAGGCAGATGTGGAGTTGGTGTGTGTAGGTGCCTGTTTGCATACAACTATATGCTTAAATACGATAAAACATATTCCATAATCCTAAAAGAAAACCCTTAATTAGTATAGCAGGGTGCCCCTTCTGATCTCCATGGATGCCCTTAACACACACACACACACACACACACAGAGAGAGTGCACACAGTTATGTATTTGTTTTTTAATTAAATCTGCCTTTCTTTCTGTTATTTCTGTCTTACAGGGATCCAGTCTAAACCCAGATGTTGCTGACCTGGAAATTACACACATAATTTCATACACCTGCAAGGATGCACACACAAAATAGACATTCACACACAGATGACAGACGCTTGCCAAGCACTCTTTTATGCCGCCTCAATGCATTGTATTTCTTTTAAGTTTTCCCTTGGAAAGGTTTTTGAGAGCAGATCTACCAGCTCCTGTTGCCAACTTGACCAGCTTATAGCCTGTGGGCCCCAGACTCTGGAACCATTTCACACAGGTCTCTCTCATTTCTTTATTTCTCTTCCCCAGTATTTAAAAAAGATAGAACACTTTTTCAGTGTCCGTCTTATGTTTCCGTCCTGAGTGGATGGTTTTAGCCAAGTTAGTTAGGCTGCAGAACAACAGGCACAGCCCTGATTTTTTCTGTGTGCATGCAGCATGCATACATTTCCACACACTATAGCAAATTTGCATGTGTGTTTGAAACGACACATTCCCTTTTTTGATTTTTGGAAGACACCCACTGACGTGACTGGATCTGGTGTGACTGACATGCAGGAACTCGCTCACTCATAGTTTCACGCTCTTAATCTTCTTTTTTTTCTCATAGTACTCTGTTTTTTTGGTTCATTGGCTTAATTTCCCTCCAAGTAAACTTTATCATTGCATGATTTAATGATGAGCTCAAAGCTGTGATCCATCTGGTTACATTTTTAGAAAAGAATCACAGAAACAGTACCTGCCTACAGGACAAGAGAAAAGAAGATGTTGCTGGGAAAACAAATGTTCAAGTTTGATAGATATTAACTGGAAGCCAGAGAAATTAGTTCAAGCCACAAAATGTATGACATGCAAGGAGCTTCTGTGCAACAGCGAAAGTAAACAAGTGAGGTAAAGTGTGGTAGAGTTAAATGATGATAGCTCTGGTTTTTCATAAAAAAACTGAAAATATTAGAAATGTACTGTAAACCCATCATAATCAATTTTATGAAATGCCAAAATGTACTCATTAACAATCCACTTAGGTGGTTTTGCATATGAATATTCATTGTTTCCAGTTAAGCAGGCCAGACATGTTAAAGCCATGTAGTGTCTAAAAATAAGCCTATTATGTCTTGGCTTCATCCATCATCCATGAGGATGTTCTCCTTAAAGGTGTCTCTTATTAACACAGGCACCTTTTGAGATGCACACTGCACCAAAAGATCACAGTAGTCTTGAAAACAGTGTACTTCCTCTGTTTGTTTAGTTTTGCCCCATATATTTTATGTTAAAAAAAGATGTACAATTGCTGTAAATTGCCCCTGTGTTCTTATTCAGCCCTAACTCCAGTACAGAAGGTAATGAACAAGTGATATGGTTTCCTGGCTTTATAATACTGTTATGATGTTTATTTTAAAATCCAGAAGGGAAAGAAGCTCTTCAGTCATTGCATTGTGTACTTCTTATGAGCACTTTGACTTGTGAACATAATAGAGCTCAGTTCAACAACACTGATATAATAATCAAATTACCTTCAGTGCCAAGGATTTTAAACTCATCATTTCACAATATCTTCTACAATAGCATGGCAGCTACAGTGTAACCAAGGTAAGAGTACTTAGGCTACTAAAACTCCTAGTGTTGTTAATTGAGCAGAGTACTAAATTTGTTCATTTTAAGGCCTGTTGTTGCATGTTTTTCTTCCACATGTACACAAGAGGACTAAAAGAACAATGGTGTCAGACTATGTGAACTGTCTTTGCATCCTATTATTCTCTACTTCAATCAACAACCTCCTCTCCTCTGTCTCTGAGGCAGAGGCTGAAGAGACCAAGCCTCTCAGTCCTTACTGCCCCATATGCCAGGCGCTACTCTGAGACCACCTGACAACTCCACTGCACCACCGACCTGCACTTGCATGTTATCTGACCATTTATGTGCTTGTTAGGGTTGCTGAATGTAGAGGATAGAACAGATAGAATGTAGAATTCTACTGCTACAGTATGTTGACTGTCCACAAACTGTCCTTTAGTCATTCTGTTTCATTCCACAGCTGTGGGCTTCGTTGATTCTTTCATTATCCAGTGTTAATCCTTTTTTTTCCATTTATGCACTTTTTCTTGCAAGAAACTTGTGGACACAATTTAAAAGACAATGAATGCTTTACTTTGTTTGGATATGATTAAGTATTTCTGTAGGATGCTATTTGTATTCCAACCATATTCCACCACATTAACCATTATCACTAGTCTGAATGACAGACCACAACTTTTATATTTTAACAGTTCCTCCACATTTGCTCCTTGTACACAATGAAGACAACAGCTACAAATTGAGGTATTTTGTCCTCTGTTAATAAAGGATCTCCTTCTCACTTTTCCACAGGATTGTGTATTACTATGCTCAATAAAGCCAGATTATGTATATAAATAATTTTCTTTCTTCCTGTCTCTTTCTATAAAATTAACACTGTGTCATAAGAAATACAGTAACCTTTGGGGCTGTTCTCATTGTTGAATTTAGAAAATATTTTGTTTTGTTGTGAGATTGTGAAGAAACAACCACTGAGAGCCTTTTTAGAAGAGCATTTATCTTCATGTTATTGCCCCATTTTTGTCATGAGACATGAGAGAAACTTCTTTTTTATTAAAATAATTGTAAAATAATTACATTACTAAATAACTGTTTCAGTCTGTTTTCCAGTAGAATTCTGCAGTGGTTTAATCTAAACAGTTAAATGTGTTACTTTTAATGCATGAATACTCCTGTGCAATAGGTAATTGTAACTCCTTTAACTTTGTGATGATATGATTGGAGATGTAGTGGGTGGTCATTGACTTGCACATTTACATAATTCACTCTCAGTATGCTATTCTTTGTGTGTGTACCGTGCACACAATCAGATTTTATTTGCTATATATAAATATGAACACATATACAAGAAATGCATGCCCTGAGTCAGTCGGTTTCTTTCTCCATAAAGGCATGCATTTAGCCCCAAAGAAAAGCGACCCACTAACCCTGACTCTCTATTCATCCACACAGAGTGGTATATCCCATCACACTCTCCTTTCATTACTCTACACTAAAAGCAGCCAGCAGGCAGAAATAAGCACAGAAGTGAAAGAAAAGGAAGTTGTATCATCCTATACTGCTCGGATGCAAATGCGTGTGCTTCCAGACCTGTGTTAGTCTGGGTCACTGTAACCAATCACAAAAGGGTAGAGTGCCACCTATTGGTGCACAACCTCCTCTTCATCACCTCCTATTCACTCTCCTTCCTCCCACAGACACACTGACGTTCAACTCCTACACACTGACTCACCATATGTTTTTACATGCACAGCGAAAATCACAGTTTGAGTGCACACTGTCACCACATGCACACAAAGACTGACATGTAGAAATATCTTGATGTCTTTTAATGCGATGCACACACATGCTCACGCATGTACACATATGCAGAGAATTACAGCACACATACTTATACCAATGCAAAAACTGAAACACCCACAGCTCAGCAATAATGAATAATTACATGGTCTACAGTGAAATCTATAATAAAGGCACAAAAACCCTCCATATCATGCTTAAGATAAGGCCTCAAGTTTACTGACCATTTAAGAAGAACCTCTGTTTAGTTGGAGTTTTTTTTTAATATAATTTAATAAAATAATGTCAAAAAGTTTCAAATGTTTATATAGTGATTCATCAGAGGAAAACATTTTATAATAAATTATTTGAAGCAAGAAAGGCAAAAAAGTGTAACGCTTAGGTTAAGGTACTATAACACAGAGCGTCACTGTAAATCAAACATCAATTTTAGATGCAGGGTCGAGCCTGAATAAGGAAGAGGGAAGGATGCCAAGTGTCAGGCACAATAAATTTTTGCACATTTTTTTTTTTTTTGCACCAAACAAAGTTTAGGCTCAGAATTGATTAAAATTACCCACCACTTTAGAAACTATTATACATATGTAACGTGAATTTTGTAAGCATCTACACTTTGTTCCCTGTAAGTCTAACACCATGGTGGGAGGTAAATGTATGGAGTATCTATCACTTGAATTCATCCAGTGAGGCTGCTTGGCTTTCATGGTCATGGGTGATGTGAACTCTTGAAGGAATTACTGCTAGACCAAAGATGATATGTGTAGGCAGCGAAAAGGAAGGCAGCTTATTCTGCTGCTTTGACCCCCAGAAAAAATTGTTTACACACACACACACACACACACACCCACACACACACATACACACTATCAGCAGTGGGAGCGAAGGTAGCTGGGCAAAAGTATAGCTACTGTATGTCTCAGTGCTGTTCCACTTCGATCACTATATTAACTACATTATATTTGCTCAAATGCCAGACTGTCACATGCAGTCTGATTCATCAACTTTCCACACCATCAAATCAGGAGAGAAGAAGATAGAGAAACAGAAGAAGGGACAGAGGGAAGAGGCAGAGAGGAGACAGAGGAAGGTGAGAGGAAAGATGCAAATCTGTAGAGTTGAGCGTAAAGTTAGAAACAAACTGAAAAGATTGGATTGTGAAGAGAACCAGATGTAGTGCGATATAATAAATAGAAAGAGGAAGGGGGGATGGGGACCCATTTAAAAGATGAATCAATAAAAGGGGCTCACAAGCAGAACTCCAGCTCTCACATATCTAACATTCTAAGCTGCTGCTTGAGAAGAAGCACAATGCCACAAACCGGCCAATAACCCGAGAACGCTGAGTGCCACACAGAAAAACATACTCAGACTATTTTTTTCTGTTTCTCACTGCGTGACAGAGCCACAGAAACACTGGCCGTGGCGTTTTGTGTGGAGATGCCGGCTGACTCTCATGTCATTTGGTTTTTTTTCATCTGCTAGATGTAGTGTGGTTTCATGCACATAAACCTCCAATTCCATTTGCTGCTCAGTGGCAGTGCAATACAATGCACTGAAACAATGCTTAGGAGGTTTGACTTGATGTGGAGTATCTTGAATGGCACAGCCAGCAGGCATCTCACATTTCATCTGCTGAATATATGGAAGAATATGGGTCTGTAGTGCTTTAGAGAGCATTTAACCACTATGGCATTTCTGGCCCTTATTCAGTCTATCTCTTAGACACCGAAGGTGAAAATCCTCAGAAATCCTCCCTATTTTAGTGATATTTATACTGTGTATTACTGTGTGAAATGTAAATGTGGTCTGAAGGAGCTGATCACAGCTGGGGCGACTTTCTGTTATTTTCTAAAAAGATATTATTCTGGCATAATACCAGTGAGGTGCTTACTTAGTAATGAACAGAAGATGCAGGTGAGCACCGGTGACTTCCCCAGATGTGGAGAATTTATGCTTATCCTGAAATCAGATTTTTGAGTAATGATGATTTACTTTATTTCCACAAAATAAGGATTTCAA